TGCATTCAAAAATTCAAAACACATGTATTAAATGCTTCATGAATAAACAAGAATACTGCCAAAAACAGTAATATTAACATGACATCTTTCCTTGCATGCTCATTTCATAAATCCTTTTCCTTATTTAAATCATCGGCAATGCAAAGTTTGGTGTGAGATTGGGTAACTCTTTTTTCTGTCGAACAATCAAATCTTGAAACTGGTTGCCGATTGGGACAATCAATTTTTGAAATCGCAATTTATGTATACAATATATACGTAATCCAGTGTCGTATTATCATTTTGCAATTTCAGTTTTAAACATTGCTACTTACTTCCAGATACATGTAGATCTACTAGTAGACTAGTTATTTGTAATATGTTTTTAGATTAAAGGTCAATAACAGTTATTAGACATCTACAGTTTCATGTGGACAAACAGTTCAGAGTGGTTGTCCAATTGGACAAAAATGTATTTTTTTTTATTTCAACCTCTTTAATGTAGCATACCGGCTAACAAACTAGCGTTTATATGCTTTACGATTTCTTAGTAATAATGTTCCTTTGGTACAGTCATATCTTTGTGCTATTCTTTTTTGAGTACATCATGACACTTGAAATTCATTGTGTGGTATAATTATTTGTATCCAATCCTTGGGGCAGAGGTGCATCACAGAATATTGTACGTAATGTATTTCTACGGTGTCTGTGCAAGCTGCCATGGAATGCTGGTCGCATAGCCATTGAAAATGGCTAAACTTAAGAAAACAGCTCAAACTCAACTTTGAAATAATCCTATGTAGGGGTAATCTTGTAATAGTTAACATTTTTTAGCTCAACTGACCATATTTTTGTTGTGTACCTGCCTTGATGATTGTAGATAGGAATTTGTTCATGAGAAGTCTATCTACTAAAAACTATGCAAATTGCCTACCAAAAACTATTTAAATGTTTAGGTGACTTTGTCATTTTTAGGGAAAAAACCCTCTAAAATTCTAACCAGCTTTAATTTCAAACAAGATCCTATCTAATTTCTAACCAGCCCCAGTTTTGTAAACTAGACCCTTTCTGAATTTCACGCTAGACACTTTCGGATTTTTAACAAATCCCACTTTCCCACTATATGTTTACTACATCACCTACCTGCAAATCTGTGGAAATAATAAATTTAATTAGGCTTAATTACAGATTAGTGATTATGTAAAGCTGGTATGCATCACTCTAAAAAGAAGAAGTTCGCTAGCTGCA